TTCTAATATACTCTATATAGTTATTAGGTGCATCTAGTAATCTAGTATATCTACTAATATATATTTCTAATAATTCTAATATACATTTCTAATGATTCTAATATACTTATTTTAGATGATAAGTAAGTTTTAATATTATAGGCTAAGCTATAGAGAAACTTATGACTAGGTATATATAATAAGAACTTACTAAAGAACTAGAATAGGGGGTCTATAGGCCTGGATAGAAATATCTAATTATATATTACAGCTAGTAAGAGGTCATATAACCTGGGCTGTTAGTTCATAAGTTACTTTATATTATGAGTGCTAAGCAGCACAAGCATATCATAGGCCTTGCTTACAACAGTAAGTAGTAATAAAATATACCTATCTTTACATAACTCTTATAATGCATTACTAAAGCATTACTAAAGATCACCAGGTAGGTAATTTATTCTAAATACTAGTAGCTACTAGCATCTACTAGTTGCTACCATTACTACTAGGTTAGTATGTAATCTAATACAGGAGGTCACCAGGTTTTTTACCTGGTGACCTTAGCATAAATATTAGTAAGTAACCTGGCGAGCATAACCCTAGTAAATACTAGTAACCCACTGGTAATTACCAGTCATCTACCTAGTGACCTGGCGACCTGGCGACCTGTATAATCCTAGACCCGCACCATAGTGAGTTTAGTGTGGGGTTGTTCTGATTTCTGCGGTTCGGACTAATCTCGACAGTTGAGCTATCAGTCGGGTTCTGGTTGATTAAGGTGAGTCCATATGGTGATCTACATCTTCCACACGCGTAGGTTGCAAGGTTTCTGACTTTTGAGCTTTACATTTTGAACTGAAGACTCGCTGGAAAAGAAATCCGGATCAGAATTGAATTACTAGCTAGATATCTGACTGAAGAAATAGATACAATCATATCACCAAGCTCATATCAAATTATAAGTAAACATTATTATCCTTCCCTTGCATTTCTCATCCTCGTGTCCATCTCATGTCCATCATCGCCAGATCATTTACAGCAGCAGTGCAAATGCACCAATAGCCATGGCCTTGCCAACAGACGAGCCCAGCTTGCTGGCTGCGCCGGTGGCGAGTCCTCCAGGAGGAGCGATGGTTGCGGAGCCAGACGATCCAGAACCAGAGCTGGATCCCGAAGAGCCGGAGCCAGACGAGCCAGAAGGACCGCTAGGGCTGGGGGCAGTTGGCTGGGGAACCACAGCGGTGGAGGAGGACTCCTCACCACCGCAAGTCGTGCATGGGGTAGGGGCGGTGGTGAAGGTGGTGGGGCTACCTGGGCTAGGGATGCTGGTGGTGCCCTCACACTCGTGGCAGGGGGCCGTCTCAGTGGCGGTCACGGTGATCGAGTTAGTGGAGGTCTGTGTCTGGCTGGCAGTGGCGGTGGAGGTCACTGTTCCCGGGGGAACGGGCACACTGGTGGTCGATTCGCACTCGGTGGTGGTTTCAGTTTCGGTCTGGGTGACGGTAGTGCCAGTGGGGGCGGGAGTGGTAGTGGTCTCGCACTCAGTGGTAGTTTCGGTAGGAGATGCAGTGGGTGTGGTAGTAGTCTCACACTCAGTAGTAGTCTCAGTCGTGGTCTCCGTTGGGGATGCGGTTGGGGTGGTAGTGGTCTCGCACTCAGTAGTAGTCTCTGTCGGGGTGGCCGTCGTAGTAGTCTCACATTCAGTGGTAGTCTCCGTAGTCGTCTCTGTAGGAGAGGGAGTGGCTGAGGTGGTGGTAGTTTCGCACTCAGTAGTTGTCTCAGTAGTGGTCTCTGTTGGGGAGGCAGTGGGTGTAGTAGTCGTCTCACACTCAGTGGTTGTCTCCGTTGGAGATGGAGTGGCTGAGGTGGTGGTAGTTTCACACTCAGTAGTCGTCTCAGTCGTGGTCTCCGTTGGGGATGCGGTTGGGGTGGTAGTGGTCTCGCACTCAGTAGTAATCTCTGTCGGGGTGGCCGTGGTAGTAGTCTCACATTCAGTGGTGGTCTCCGTAGTCGTCTCTGTTGGAGAGGGAGTAGCTGAGGTGGTGGTAGTCTCACACTCAGTGGTGGTCTCCGTCGGGGTGGCTGTGGTGGTAGTCTCACAGTCGGTCGTTGTCTCGGTGGGAGACGGAGAAGATGTGGTGGTGGTCTCACAGTCTGTTGTGGTCTCCGTAGGAGTAGCAGACGTACTAGTAGTAGTAGTCTCGCAGTCAGTTGTAGTCTCCGTAGGGGTGGCCGACGTGGTAGTTGTCTCGGTAGGGGTTCCACTTGTTGTCGTAGTAGTAGGAGTGGGAGTCGTCGAAGTTGTAGTGGTTGTGACGGTACCCACATCCTTGTATGCGTCAATACCCGTCTGGATGGCCGCAGTGATTCCCGAGGACAACTGATCAGCGACGTCCTTGAGAGCCGCCGGCACCTTGCCGGACAGCGTCGTGGCCAGGTTCGAGGAGGCCGTGTACTGGGCAAGCAGCTGGTTATAGGTAGTAGGACCCGAACCGGCAGCGACAATCAGATCCTTCTTGGCAACGAGATCGTTGATGGTGGTCTTGACCTTGTTGGTCAGAGCCAAGATGGGATTCACCAGATTCAGAGCATCAAGCTGGGACAGATCGGGCTGGGCCGCAACGGTGGCAGTGCCAGCGTTGATGGTGGAGATGAGGTCCGCGGAGGCGGCCTCAATGGCGGACGTATCGCCCCCAGTGTAGGCGTTGATGTCCGCATCCAGAGCATCGACTTTGGTCGAAATGGCAGCGACAACACTGGTGATCGTGGCAAAGTCACGCTCCACCAGCGAAGGAACCCGGGAGACCTTGGTAGGCGTCGCGAGGACGCCGGTGAAGGCTCCCAAGGCGAGGAGGGAGGTTAACGCAGAGAACCGCATTGAAGCAACCAAACAGTATCAGATGATAAACGACCGTGATGGGTATAACAAAGATCAAGCGAGAGACGATCGATCACTACTGTAACGAGCGACAGACTTACAGCAGGTATGGAAATATCAGCCCAGAAAGATACCGCGAGGTACCACCCCAGGACTATTTAATCACGTCCTGGAGGCTGGCAGTCAATTCACATGTGTCATCGCCATGCATCGGTGGGGTTGCCTCGCTTTGACTTCGATATTGAGACTCATTTCCGTTCGATCCGGGGTATCCCAGTTCCTGCATAGACATTGGCGAAGACCCTGGACAAGCGATGAAGGGAAATGCTGTTTTGAGGTTAGTGCACCATTTGTCTCAAGGCACTGGCCTGTACGTGCCTGACCAAATTATCGAACATGGGCTAAGGCACTACGACGTTGGATCGTTCTTTAGATCATGCCAGTGGCAAGACCATCAGAGATTGTCTGATTGGATGAGATATATTGCGAGAATAAGGAGGTTGGTGCTGGCAACGGGAGGGTGACTGGACAGGTGTCGGTCAGTACAACTGTATCCAATAAGCATCGGACTGGCTCAGAGGCAGGGATTCTCTCAGACCTTTGCTTTCCGTCAACCTCATATGTCATATTGAGTAATAGATGATGCCATTGCCAGAAAAACAAGAAAGTCTCCGGGGAGACTGAGACATGCAGAGTGATAGACCATCATCCTGGTCTGAGTCCAACACTAACAAAGCGTAGAGTTAGACGGACGAAAACACACTCGAATTCCAGCATCTTCTCCACTGTTTAGGCGTCCACTGACGTTGTCAAGCTTGTGTTGCCCCTTGTTCCTGATAGGCCCTGACTCAGAATCTTTCCTAGAAACAGGATATGTTGCGAAAAAGGTAATTAGATTAGTCTTTTCGCTTAGTCTTCAATCGCTTACCCTCATGGGACTGACCATCACCCATTTGAGACTTGGGGTATGTCTAGCGTAGGGCTAGCGACTTGGCTTCCCAGTCGAAATGTAACCTGGCCATGATTTAGTGTCGGTGATGTTGATGGCGATGCGGGGTCGTGACTCGTAAGACATGTTTCCCCGGAGAAGTCAGCCGGATCACCGTTCAGATTCGAGTCAATAATGGAGGATTTGACTTTGGAAGACCCTGCAGATAGGTTCTTGCCTCATATTCTTTTCTTCTTTGTCTGAAGGTCTCGGAGTTGGATGAATTGTAATGATGAGGTTGTTGGGAAGAGCGCAGTTAAGAGAAATCAAACAGGTCGAAGATGCATCTTGCTGAGGTCCTTTGCTGTGCTTCTGACTAAGGCAGTAACATGGAGGTGCATGCATTCAGTGTCACATCACAATCTTCGGGTAGGCAAGACAATGGGTTGAGTCTTTAGGAAAATCCTCATAATTTCCAGCCTAATGCAGTGTTATTCTCAGTTTCTGATCCTCTAGAAGCTACTACTTAGACCAAAGCCACATCCAAGAAGCCTACGGGGCCCTACTCTGATGCTATAAATAATCCCAGTCACTAACAAACTTTGAATCTCGCTAACATCCCCTCCCATCGTCTGCCTTAAGAAAGTTGTAAGACAAATGAAAGCTAGTCTGACTCGTATTACCATCAGCACTGTGACCAAAGCTTAGAGTGAGTCCTGCTTGATGATATCCGCCGCCTTCTCCGCCACCGCAAACACCGTGGCCTGGATATTCCCCCGGGGCTCCAGTGGAAACACACTGGCATCCACCACCCGCACATTCGCCGTCCCATATACTTTAAGCTTCGAGTCCACTACTCCGCCGTCCTCGCGTGGCATCATCGCACATGACCCACTGAGGTGGTACTCAGACACTATGAGCTCCTTACACAGTTCCTGGGCCATCTCCACGTCGGTCAGTCGCTCAGGTGTGTGCAGTCGCACTCCATTCTTCTTAAGTAGCGATGCCATTGGCTCGGTTTCGGCTAATGTCTCGGTCCAAATACTGTGACGTGCGTGGAGCTCGAGGTCTGCGGGGTGACGCAGAATGCCATGGTCGATGACCGGGGCCGCTCTGATGTCTGCGGATTGGAGGTGCACAGAACCGCGAGAAAACGGATAGCTCAGTGCGGAGACAAGAGTGATGAAGCACCCTGGATGACTCATTGAAAAGAGGCCCTTGCCCTCGCGGGGCAGAATCTGGAATGGGGCCAGGATGTACTGCGCTGTGGGTTCATCGGGGTCCTCCAGCAGCTTGCGAAGAATCGGGTACTGCTTCTGCTGCGCGCACGGCAGACCACCAGAGGCGATCGACGCATCGATTGTCGCGAGCAACTGCTGACGTTCTGCTGTGGAGAGGTTCATGCAAGGCATGAATGCCGACACCAATGGGACCATGCCCAATGGTCCGGAGCCGTCTTTCTTATACGCTTCCATGGCAGCCGCAGCCACTGCTGGGTCTCTCGCCATGTCGCCCGAGGGCGTCCCGTCTGCTACTTCGTACCCAAAACATACAAATCCATGATCTTGCAGGTTCTCCCCAACATTTGGATTATCAATGATTGGAATGATGCCATGCGAGCGGAGGAGATCTGCGCTGCCAATGCCCGAGAGCTCCAGGATCTGTGGAGTCTGCGTTGCTCCCGCCGCGAGGATAACCTCCTTCGTCACAGGAACCGTGTACGTTTGTTCCCCCTTGCAGAACTGCACCCCGGTGGCGACAACAGAAGCCTGGCGGACTTCCAGAACAATCCTCTCCACCAGCGCGCCCGTCACCACTCGCAGGTTCGGACGACGCTGTACATCTGCGCCGAAATAAGCTGACCCCGCATGGCTGCGTGTGTGGGTGACAGGATCCACCGCACCAGGGCTGACAAACGGTCCTGTTCCTGCGCCTCGAATGGGATCTTCTACCTGCGGATATTCCAGGTTCTTGAAAGTCTCCAGCCACGCTCCGTGGAACGGCATGTATTGATCTCCGAAAGACACCTGAACTGGCCCAGTACTTCCCTGATCTTTCTGGTCATATTTCATCCCATTGAAAAACTCACGAACTGCGGCAGACGGCGGACTGGCCTGGTGGAATTTGCGCAGGTACGGTTCAATACCTTCCCATCCCCAGCCCGGATTTCCGAGCGCTTCCCATGCATTCATCCCCGATCGCGATGGGTAGATGATCAATCCGAGGTTGATCGCGGAGGATCCTCCCAGGGTACGGCCTTTGGTTGCGAGTAGTTGACGACCATTGAGTTGTTCCTGCCAAAAAAAGCATGTCAGTCAGGGGGCTCTGAGCGTTGCTGCTTGCGCGTACCTGAGGGATGGATCGAAAGTCCCAGTCGAGATCCGGATCTCCGTACGTCGTAGGCGCCAGTCCCAGCACCAAGATGCGCGGGTCTGTCAAACGGTTTGTTCCTGCTTCCAGGACAAGCACGCGAGTGTTAGGATCCTCTGTCAATCGGTTGGCGACAACTAAGCCAGACGTGCCACCTCCCACAATGATAAAATCGAAGACGGCACCATCTAGCCCAGCAACCGAGTTGGTGTCGATGACAGTCATTTTTGATCACTATATACCAGAATCCCGTAAGTAATAAGAACCACCTGTATGTTTCTCAAAGCTAACCATCAGCAATTCAGCCCAGCTATTCGAGTGATAAAAGTCATATGAAAGAGCGGTACCTCTGTCGTGTTTATTGTCTGAGGCGGGGCAATGCCACTCAGACTGCGTGCGTTGTGTTCCTATTTACCATTACCGTGATTGCATTAATGCAGGTCAGTGCTTAAGTGAGCGGGCCAATGGACAGGCCAAACACCAGGAGTGATTGGCATTGTGTGGAGAACCAGAGGCACCACAGTAGACGAAGCTTCAAGCTCGCGCCCGATGTGAATCGATTGCCATGCTTGACTCGAGTTGTTCCCTTCCGAGATCGAGTCAGTCGCATCCCAGCTCCGAAGTCATCCCCAAAGCATCCTGCTCATATTGGGGAGATCACAAGTTGATTATCTGACCTTGTCAATGCCGGGGGCCTGAGCGTGTAAAGGGGAGAGGATGCTTGAATATGATAAGGGTGTCAATGTGGCTTGCATTGCCAAAGAAAGACAACGAATGATATCCAATGATTAAAGAAAATCCCACTTTCCAGTGGAGAAATCCAGTCTGCCAGTATGTGGGTTTTCGGTTCGAAAAGTCGAAACAATGCCGTCCGGGCCCGTCCCCTACCTAGAAGAGAGCACGACCCACCTTTGAGTTACCCTCGGGGTCCTCGGGGATAGGTATTGCTTAGTGTCTATCTACAGCCCCACTGGCATTCAGTCGGGGAATATACACAAGCTCACAGCACCCCTCGACCAGAATCCGGCTCCTTGTAGTGAAAGTCCTCATCCCCTGCAGACCTGCGCCTGTAAAGCCACTTCACCAGCATCATGTTAAGACCTCAATCCCTCGGACAGCTTCGCTCACTCCCAAAGTGGTCTGTCTATTCCATAGGCTCTCAAATACCAAGTCAGTGCGGTTTGGATGGGTTGTTGTGGTATAAAGGGCAAAGATCGCCAATTGCCATCGCCGCGATTATAAGCCTGGGAGTCGTATCAGTAACGTCCAATGCGCCGCAGATCTAGTTGGTGACGCCTCTGAGATGATAGAAATTGTAAGCTTCGTGCTTCCTGACATGTACATCTGATGCTGGAGATCGAAGCTCTAGTGATTTTTATTCCGTCCACGTTTGAGTGATATCAAGGAAAAGCTCATCGTCCTCATTGCCAATCTTCAGTTCTGGCGCCATGTACTATCCAGACATCTCCCAGCACAAGAAAGGCCAGTGTCGATACAGATAACAGCATAGCAGCATGAATAACCCATGCACATGGTGACTGAGTCTGACGTGTGTGAAGTACGAGGTTAGCAAATGCAGGATTAACGAGGGTAAGCGGAAGTGTCAGGTAGAGCAGACAAACTGGATAGGAGACGAGGACAGAGACAGAGTTGAAGATGAGGCGTCACCAGATGGTCCACCGCAAGAGATTCTATGGAGTAGAGTGAGAAAATACTTCGCATCAAAGGCCGTATTTCGAGACTGATCAAGTGCTGCCGCAGGGGAGAGCCGCCTCTGACCATCTCAACCACAAAGCATCCAGTACCACGAACGCGAACAATCCAAATGTTAAAGAGAACCAGAAAAAGAAAGTTGAAATAGAGAAAGATATAGTCATGTCGAGAAATAAAACGGATCAGAGAGGAAGCCGTACAGGCCCCTCTCTGATCCGCCCAAGCCCCAGCCGCTCCCTTCTTTGGTCAGTAAATTTATACCAGTGGATCGACCGGGGCCTGTCTCGAACCAGGACCCGGTAGTACAGCTAAATTTAATGTTGGGGGATTAACCCACTGCACTACCAGGTCCTGGTTGGTTAATGATACAACATAACAGGGGTTCATCTGTTGCCCAGGTGTTTGCCTAAAAGGGAAGTGAATGGGACTCTCCACTGAAGAGCAAGGAGAACAACAAAGATCAGTCTGAGTTATTATCAGGTCATACTTAGTCTAGGATAACGCTAAGTAGGCTTTACTGGAAAATCATGACGCTTTAAAATGGCTCTTATAGCACACATTAAAGATATCTCACGGCAATGAGTATGCTACTCAGACTATCCCTCCTACCTATATATGAACTAGAGAAAGAGTGGAGTAGTATATCCCTCTGACGGCATTTTATGATCACTTGGGACTACATCTAAGACCTATGACTTAAAATCTTTTCAATATCACCATTTATAGAGACGGATTTATTGTTATTTGTAAATGTCTGGTGGCAAAACAATAACCCGAGGGCTCGCTGCTTCGCTATATCTGTATGGATTATCCCAAACATCTACAGCAGCCTAATACTGCATGACCGTCGAAATTTTATTGATAATTCATATCTCTTTAGGCACTTCGTCATGGAAGATTGGAGTGTACTTCCTGGCTGAATGTTCACCATCGACTGCACGATGTATTTGCTCCAGAATCTGGAAAGCTGGTCTCCAATCCAAACCCGACCTGCGAAGGGGAGTCCAAACGAAATGATAAGATCTGTTTGACCACTGAGCTGAGGTGGCTTCTGCGATATATCAGAACCATAAATGGTTTCGAAGTGGGAATGCAACCGGTGATGAACACCAACCACATCTCTGTCCTTGATCTATCGTCAGCCTAAAAAGAAATAATCGAAGATATCGGACATACTGATTCCAGACGATGATCTCAGCAAGAAACCCTAGACAGATTGCGTTAGGAGACGTATTTTTTTTTTTCGTAGGAATGAGGAGCTACTGACAGGTCCCATCGTCGACTTCGGTCAGGAAAGCTAGTCTAGTTGTCTTGACGATTGCACAAGCTCCAGCACTTTGGGTATCAGCATAGTCCCTGATTAGAGAGAGAGAGAGGCGATTACACTATGCCAAAGCCCATCAAACAACCAAGCCCTATTCTTCGCGCCATCGAAAATGCCTGAATGCGCCAGAAGATGACCATTGGGTATATTGCCAGGACGATATCGCAAAAGGCAGAATATGCTGTCAACTTGTCACTAACAAGAAGGAAGACTAACAGCCTGTTGAAGTGCAGTGCTTACAGCCTTGGGCATAGCCAAAGATCTTTCCCCATTGTCGATCTTCACAAGTCCCAGGGATATTTTGATCCCACAATTTTCTTGCAGGAGAACATTGGACCATAAGAAGTACAGCACCGACAACGTTGACAATCAACCCGCTCGCTGCGATGAACCAGAGGAAAGCGGTTTTGACTCGATTCTGATATCCCTGGCAGAGCAGTATGAATGCAATAATGGCTACTTTTCCCATTCCGATGGCTATGAGAGCCAGAAATTGGTTGAGCCACGCGTATAATAGCGCATTTTTGACCTCATCATCTGGTAATTCGGACTGATGTACACCAAGTCCGTGTGAAGCTCCTACAGTGAGGAGGACTTGACTTGCAGTGGCGATAACCTTATTTTATAGATATTAGTATCATCATCTATAGATGTAGAAAGAAACGACAGTACGTACAAATGTTGCTGTAGCCAAGTAGAAGTCTGTCGCCGTGCGATGAATGATTCTCCAGGCTGAGTAGCATCTAGCATAGAACAGCAGGATCGCGATACCAAACTCAACCCAGGTGACAATGTTCAACGGCTTGTGAAGGCCGGCATTGTCATTCGCAATCATTGATGATCAAGCGCTTTGTTCATACGAGTCAGTCAAGAACTCAAGATCCATTTTCTCTCGCTCAAAGGAGGTAAAAACCTTAATTCAACGCCGCAGCTTAGAACTCTGTATCTTCCACCCATTTAAAATGAAATGATACGGGCGACTGCTCCAGTCATTAGCTACTTTGTCATATGCAGCACAGCGACATTCTGCGATGGCTGAAATTTCAACATGCCCAGGAGTATCCCGACCATCGTGTAAGTTGCAGAGGTGGAGGTGGACCATTTCCGGCAAAGACCAACTCGACGTCATGAATCATGATGTACGGGGAAGCTGTCGGAGAGAATGCACAGCAGCACAACTTGAGTTTATCTACTAAGCTGCATAATTATGCATTTGACACTGTACTCTCTCCTCAATTTTCTGAACTTTCTGAATCTCTCCACAATTCATCTCACAACCTTGCGGCATCCATGATGAGACAAGGGTCGCTGCCCATTATCGATTTTGATGGCTTTTCTCGCAACATGCATGATACAACATGACCAGTTAATGGTAGTCCCACCATCATTTTTCCGTCTCTCGGGGTTGGCCATGCTTGATATGAGGCGATTGCTGCTTCAGAGTTGAATCGGCTTACACTACTGGAACGAAGTAAAACATGATGACTGTCTAGCTCGGGTGGACGAACCAACCGATCATATGTATTCTGCTCATCGTCGGGGTCGATGACAAGGGACGGAGTGCCCCAGAACCGCAATGTCGTGCTCTTCAGCTTGTCCATCCTGTACTCCAGAAGATTGTCAATGGACATCAGTCGAAGAACAGGACATGATCCTTGTCAGAATGGTACTGATTGTTTTGAATATATGAATCTGCTCGGTCTTTCGGTAAGTCTAAGGAATGTCCAGTTGCAGAATACATCAAAGGCTATCGCTGACTTCCAAATTTGTGTCTCAGTCGTCCATTGAAAATAAGAATTGATGCCAGACGAATGTCCGGAGAGTTGTCGGGACGATCTGTTAGATCGGATGGCTTGGTCAATTGGACGGGGTCAAATTAGATCAGCCGGCCTCCAATCATTTTTGGGCTGGTTGTCGATCATCAGGCCGGCTAAACAATTCATCTCCGAGAGATCGGCCCGTTGCCTGCTTCCTGTTGCATTCAATGAAACTGAGTATGTCCGTTGCTGCGTCATATGCACTCCTGTCGGTATATGTATGTAAAAGACAGCCGACTTCAACTATAAAATGGCAGCCTCGTCGACTTTTCCATGACATCTCATCAACAGCTTCCTACAGTCAGTCACTCGTTGCCATTTCAAAATGTTGACCAGCTCGCTCGTTCTCGTCAGTCTCATCGCAGGGACTACCCTAGCATCTCCTGCGCCATTCCAATTCAAGAGACAATCCGATATCAACTCCTTCATTACGACCGAGACCACTATCGCGAAGCAGGGGGTTTGGGACAATATCGGAGCCGATGGGGCGCTGGTGAGCGGTGCTAGTGCCGGTGTGGTCGTGGCGTCTCCATCAAAAGAGAACCCTGACTGTAAGCCTACCTCGGAGAAGTAGAGAAAGGCCCAGCTGACGGTACAGACTTTTATACCTGGACCCGTGACTCTGCTCTGACTATTATGGAGATCATTGAGCAATTCGTTGCCGGCAACACGTCGCTTGAATCCCTCATTCACGACTACGTTGATTCCCAAGCCAAGCAACAGACCGTCTCCAACCCATCTGGAGGACTTTCTGATGGATCCGGACTCGCTGAGCCTAAATTCTTCGTCAACCTCACCGCGTTCACTGGCTCGTGGGGTCGTCCTCAGCGCGACGGGCCCGCGTTGCGTGCTTCTGCTTTGATCGCCTACGGGAACTCCTTGATTGCTCAGGGTAAAGAGTCTGTCGTAAATACGCACATTTGGCCTATTGTCTCCAATGACCTGGCATATGTGGCTCAGTACTGGAACCAAAGCACCTTTGATCTCTGGGAAGAAGTTCAGGGCTCGTCCTTCTTCACCACCGCAGCTCAGCACAAGGCTCTTGTTGAGGGCGCTGCCTTCGCAAAGGCTTTGGGTCAGTCGTGTGATGGCTGCTCCGTAGCGCCTCAAATTCTTTGCTTCCTCCAGGATTACTGGAATGGCACGGCTGTTATTTCTAACATTGCCAACAACGGTCGCAGCGGAATCGACGCGAACTCTGTGCTAGCTTCAATTCATACCTTTGACCCGGCTGCCGGCTGCGATGATACCACCTTCCAGCCTTGCTCGGCGCGTGCTTTGTCCAATCACAAGATCTATGTTGACTCCTTCCGGTCTATCTATGGCGTCAACTCGGGTCGCTCCGCCGGCAAGGCCGCCGCTACTGGACGGTATGCGGAGGACTCTTACCAGGGCGGAAACCCATGGTATGTAATTCTTACCCTTGCGCAACGTCGGTCGTCTAATACTTCAACAGGTACCTCACTACCCTCGCCGCGGCAGAACTGCTCTACGACGCGCTCTACCAATGGGACAAGCAAGGAGCCATTGAAGTCACGGACGTCTCCCTTCCATTTTTCAAGGACTTGGCCAGCAACGTCACGGCTGGATCGTACTCAAAGGGCTCTGCCGGCTATGCATCTCTCACGGGTGCCGTCAAGACTTACGCAGACGGATTCATCTCCGTTGTGCAGCAATACACCCCTAGTAACGGCGGCTTGGCCGAGCAGTTTGGCCGAGACTCTGGCGAGCCAGTTTCAGCGGCTGACCTAACCTGGTCATACGCTGCTTTCCTGACGGCCGTCGCGAGACGCAATGGCGAGGTTCCTGCGTCTTGGGGCTCATCGACTGCCAATACGGTCCCGAGTCAATGCAGTGGAACCACTGCCACTGGGACTTATGTCACTCCTACTGCTACTGCATGGTAGGCCACTCATAAACGGGTTATCGATGCTAGATTCAGACAAGGATTATATATACGAGTTGGATTTCACAAGAAGTACACGACGTTGCTGCATGGAGGTACAGGTTGAATGTATATATAAGTTCCATGTTAAATGATCAATATCTGTTATCATATTACTCGGTCAGAAGAAAAATACTGAAACCTCTGATAACTAGATAACCTTTCATCTCCCCAGACCCTATGGACTAATAATCTCACACCTCTGTGGGCAGACCATTCATTCCAAATGCTCAATACTCTAAATACCAGTTTCCCGACCCACTGTGCACAGCCTAGATTCCATTCGGTTTCGCCTATCTCTAAACTAGGAATTGGTGTACACATTGCGGATCCGAAGTCTTTGCATATACGAGGGACTCAAATGATCGCACAGCGAGTCTTAGGAGGAGAGGACATGGTTTGCACATGCTTCAAGATCCCATCTTAGTTTCCATCAACGCGTGCATAGTCTAGTGCAGTGCATCTTCGTGTATATATGGTGGCAACAGGCTGCCAGCTTACATCAAGATTATGAGTAAGCTATATCGATGCCTTAGCCTTCTTCTCGTAGGTGTTCGTCTCTTTGCCTTATTTCACTCTATACTATTCAAAGATAGCATTCACCTTCTTGTAGCTTGAGTTTTAAGATGTTGCTGGCGTCCATATTCTACTATTTGCCCTCTCATGAAAGTAAAAAGCCAACTTCATCATTACTCCATGTCATGGTTTGTCTTATATCCAAGTATTAACATTTCTTTCTATCCTTGGTACCTTTATCTCTTTATCTTCGTCTCAAGATAGACTCCTCCGACTTCGGATGTGTTCATCAGATTGAGTTTGACGACTCTCTGGGCATCCAACGGGGCTTACATGGTTACACCTTATTTCCATTTGTGCCTTGGCGATAACTCTGAACTCGAACAACTTGACGAATCGAGTCTGTCGTGTATTGACTGACACAGAGGTTGATTGGCTGTCAAACCGACCACCATGTGAGAGGGCCATGATAAAGCAACATTAGACACGCATAAACACAGCCTCGTTGCTCAATATTTTCACAGCACTTGATTCGATGAGTTCAGACTTCAGAGGCTACCAAGCGCTTGAGATTACAAGTAGCCGGCTGATGACAAGGCTTATACTTGTCAAGTACTCGTCTACCCCTCTCAAGGCGCCAAGGCATAAGACGAGCCGCCACTACAGTTTGTACTCTAACTCTGCTAGTTCAGGATTCCAGAGCGCCTAACTCAAGCCATTTTCTTAATTAATAACTCAATTAAACACTTATCATGCCCAGGCCCCGGGCTTTCTGTCATCTTCTTCCCCAGATTGCTCTGGTCTTCTCCGCATCTCAATTTGATGCTATACGATGACAGTTTATCGTCGTTGTTCAGTCATCGCACTGATAGTTTCTATATTACCTTTCTGTAAGTGTGCTTACTCCCAATAACTCCTATGGAGCTGACACGACCAGTTGTCTCTGCGACGACCTGCGTGCGGAACAATGATAGCGGCATCCAGGACTCCCCCGAGGCATTCTATTTCGCCTCGTCCGATGAGCTGAACTGGTTTTCCACGCACAACTGCACCACAATTAATGGTGACATTACTCTATCGGAGAGCTTCAACGGATCATTCTCCCTACCCAATGTCACAAGTATCAACGGAATCATCACCTCTATCACCCCTGGCGAGATGTTTGAACTCACGTCGATCGAGCTGCCGGACGTCCTGTACCTGGGAGGCATTTACCTTAATCTCCTAAGTGTTCCAGGGATAGTAAATGTATCCGTGCCCAAAGCAACTGCCACCGGCTCGATCAATCTGACCATACCATTGACGGGTGCGGTGGACTTTCGGTCGTTGGAACAAGCGACGAGTATCTCGCTGGCGGGGAATTACTCAAGGTACCTCGTTCCTCCAGAACCTTGACACCAGACTAATCAGCCTAGTGTGCGATTTGACTCTTTGGAGCAAGTCAATGGCAGTCTCAGCATGCGTGGGGTTGATACCGTCGCCAAGAATTACCTTGATAATGAGGCCTATAATCAACTCCCGCTCTACTTTCCTGCTCTAAGATCCGCGACTTTTATCCAGTTCTCGGGAGTAATTAAGAAGTCCGTCATCAGTATACACATCTCTCTTCTAGATTGAACTGACGGTTGTTAGTTTCTCGATGCCTGTCCTCGAAACGGCCAACTTCCAATCAAGCAACTATTCCGGCCCATCGGGACTATCAATCTATAACTACGGCGCGCCTTTAGACATGGATCTACCAAACTTACACTCAGTGGGCGATGTGCTCGATCTTCAGGGTGCAATATCAAGGTACTCATCATATACAAACCTTGTACGGTGCTGTATGCTAACGTAATAGGCTCTCAATGGACTCCCTACAATCAACCCAGGCCAACATCACAGTCGACTCCTCATCCCTCCTGGCCGTCAATTTCACAAGCTTATATTCTGCTGATACTATCCAGCTCAATGGCGACATCACCAGGTACTATCCATCACACAACATTTGACCTGAAACTCACCACTATAGTGCTGCATTCCCCTCCCTCACCCAAGTCACCCTGGTCACGATCAACACCACCAACCCAATCGACTGCAGTCCCTTCCAGCGCGCCCTCCAGAAAGCTGCCCCGGCTTCCAACTCCACCTGCAACGGGACAGGCGTGACAAGCTCAAGCGGGCGAGGGTTGAGCACTAGCGCGAAGGCGGGGATAGCGGTGGGGGTGAGTATCGCCGGCATCGTGATCGTGGGGTTGCTCATCTGGTATGAGCAGAGGATGGCGAGGAATTACAAAGAGCGAGCGGGGTTCTACTGGAGGCCGCAGATTCCGCTGCAGGAGAGGAGGAGGAGAAGTGGGCGGGAGGATGATCCGCCGCCGCCGTATTCGTTGCACCCGCCTGCTGATTGACGACGATAGTTGGTTTTTCAGATGTCTATATAGATTTCTGAGGTTTTATCATGTTCTGCTTCAGGTTATGTCTTGTGGTGATCACTTGATCTCTGCTTCTTTCAGAGAGAGGGCAATCAGCAACATGAGCAATGAGCATGATTACTGCTTACCATTAGCCTTTGCTCTGCAAAAGAAAAGAAAACAGCACTATTCATTCTCAGCATTGTTGACGCAGATGATTATGTGGAATTACCATGCCAAAGACCCCAGGGCAAAAAGAGCATATGCTCCGAGGAGAACATTCTTGCGTCCATAGAGTCTACATAGCGTTCCATACTACTATATTCAGTTACTCGGGACTTTGCAGAGGTACTGGGCCATGCACCACAAGCAGTGAAACACAAACATCCAAAATGATACGCAATAAGCAACCAGGGCCCTTCTGAGGACGATGAAATGGCGATGGGATCTGACTCCATGTTGAACTGACTAGAGATTCATCCGCCGATGCGAGGAAGATTCCTGCTAATCATCCTCTTCAGCCAATGGACAGTATTTCAGCAGTGTGTCTCGCTTAGGAGACAACCATAAACGAAGAGCTTGTTCTCTCGCTCCGACTTGAGTCTCTCCTCTGAGATATCGGGCTGGCGACAATGGGATGATTATGTTAATAATGGCGATTCTTCATCGATCGTCATTGTGCCTGCTCTATAAATAGAAAAGAAATAGAATTGTTGATATGCCAGATATCAGAGTATATTGAATAATAATACCACTAGACTAAAAAGGTGTCCGGCGATGTACTCGTCAGTCTAGGGTTTCATATCCATAGTCATAGTGGTATCTTATTCCAACAGAGTATAAGTATAGATCTGCTACTGATAGCATGTTCTGTCCAGGAGCTATTAAAGCAAGGGCTAAACTAACCCTCCAACATGGAGCAGCATGCTTATCAATGACACATTCACACATAGAATGCGAGGATCTGTGAAATTAATGCTGAAAATAACTGCTACTAAGGCTATTTATAGCTGCATTTCTACCTATAACTCCCAGCGGCGAGCTGCTGCTTTAGTGTTCTAGCACATGCTTTCACATCACTATTCTGCACCTGCTAAGCATTGTTTAGTCACTGTCCTGAGGTGATAACTTCAGTGAGCATTTACTCTGTTTTAACTCATGACTAAAGTGACAAGCAACACTAAAAATGGCCTCCTCTGCGGCCAGATCCAGCTCCCTTGAATTTCGACTGGATTGCCGTATAAAATGCCGCTCATCCTCACTCCATCCTTTCCCCTCGCACCCTTGCACCTTCCTCCTACCTCAACAGCTTCCACACTAATCCGCAATCAATCACAGCTTAAATCACCTCCAGAAAACAGTCAACCAAGTTATCTGATCGCCCCACTTACCAGCATGAGATATATAATTCATCCTAAGTCAATAGGAGATAATTCATGGACAGGTAATGAAGTTAAATAAAGCAACACAGTTGTTGCAGGCTGTTCACCCTTTCGCTCCTCATGGCTTGCAGACTCGTCACTCGACTTACACACAAATCCTTTCCTCACTGTTTATCTCCAACTTATTCTGTGAGGCTTTGCTTTCAACCTACTTATGCCGCAAAATTTTCAACAGCGTTTACGATGAATACGATCTCAGGACTAAGTAAGGTCTCATTCCTGCAACAGACTCCGTTCATTCAGGTTGACTCAATGGGAGCGATCGACCCCCATGCTTACACGAGCGGTCGGTGGTTACGGCACGACAAGGTGGAACATGACTCGCGCTACATCAAGTTCAATTTCGAAGCCCTTTGCCAGAGGGTTATTGATCTATGTCCTGGAGCAGACGCCATCGCAACTTGTCGAAAGATCGAAGGAGGTTTCAATAGGGTGTTTATTTTCATGTTGAATAATGCCAAGCAAATTGTGGCGAGACTTCCATTTCCGTTAGCTGGGCCAGCGAAACTGACCACTGCTTCTGAGGTCGCCACAGTTTGCTACCGTGAGTTTGCTTTATCAGATTGATTATTAACCAGGTGCTAATTCACTTATATATATAGTACAAGCAAGGACCAGCATCCCTATTCCTACGATCCTCGACTGGCATAATGATGCTGCAGATGCAGACAATCTCATCGGTAGCGAATATATAATCATGGAACACGCAGCTGGTGTCCCATTGCGCGAGAAATGGCAGGAAATGACTGGGGATCAGCAAGTCAGGTGCATAGATGCGATTTACCGAAGGACCAAAGAAGCAGTTGACCTGGAATTTCCGGCATTCGGGAGCATATACTTCAACAAGACTCTTGATTCACATTGCAGAAAATACTTAGATAAGGATTTCTGTATTGGACCGCACTGCAATACACGATACTGGGACTGCAATCCAGGAGAACATAGATATTATGATAAGGCAAAGTCGAATCACGGGCCTTGTAAGTTACAGTGGAATGTCAGTCATCTGGGCAAGTTCACTTACTGTGATGAATGACCAGGGACCAGTATTGACGAGTACTGCGATGGCCTCATTGACACTGGAATTTTGAGGGTACCTCCAACGAATACTGAAGTTGAGAAAAAGCCACTCTATCATGGATCGGTTCAAACACACTTGCGCCTTTTAGAATGCGCCCGGACTGTGCTAAGGCAAATCGCCGCGGATTCTCGGATCCAAACCGCTGCCTCACCGTTATTATTCCACCCCGACTTGCATATGAGAAACATATTTGTTTCAGAAGATGATCCTTCTCTCATCAGCAGTATTATTGACTGGCAGGCAGCTAGTGTCGAGCCAGCATTTTGGTATTCAGATGAAGTGCCGGACTTTGCGACAGGAAATGACATCTGCGCCAAGACTTTTGAACTCTCCTCACAGTTTCTAACACCCAAACTCTCTGGACCAAGGTTGATGAATGAAAACCTCTTTCGTCCTTTTCGCTACTGTTACAGGACGTGGAAGGATGGCGCAGTCGCTTTACGTCACGAGATGATTGAAACTTCCCGACATTGGAGAGAGCTAGGACTTGAAGGTCAATGCCCATACCCAATACCCACGTCAGAAGAACTAGCGAATCATGAGATGGAGTACAAACTTTTCGAAGCAGCACAGAATCTGCGACGTGACTTGTCAAGCTTGCTCAACACAGCATCAGATGGTTGGGTACCCTTAGACAACTGGGAAGCGACAGAAGTGGCCCACAAGGAACTGTTCAATGGGATGTTGCAGGCTGTCGCGACTAACGCAGACCTGGGTGATGACGAGCCCATAAAAGATGAAAACACTCTGAGATCTATCTGGCCTTTTGACGTTGATGGATGAAGACGGACAATTCGGAAGTTTACTCAAATGAGATTAACGACCGTACACTTTCACCTTCCAGATAAGCCGCCCTTTGCGAGTCGGCTCGTTGGATCATTTAGTGTCTGGAAATCGAAATATATTTCTCACCTTGGAACGTCAAGAGGCTAACTCCGCGGGTTCACGTGTCTTGCCTGACGCCTCAGCTATGCTGTCACTGTCTTCACAGTGGTTTTCCCCGGGTGTTCCATGTTTCGTGTCGCTATATTGAGCCTCCGTCCAAAAGATGACTTCAATAAAAGCGCCTTTAACAGAACTTCGATCCCGGATGTCAAGACTCTTCGGATCACCATCTCAGGTAGCATCGCTGGAGCTGTGACCGCATATCCGGTCGCAGAAGAACCGGACTACTACAAAACTGCGATTCCCATCCCATTTCTGTATGTGATACCCTTGATTCTGGCCAATACAATGTCCTGAGGAAATTAGGATATGGGCAATATTCCACAGTTTGGCTAGCTAGAGATTATAAGTAAGTTTCCCGTCGCCGTCATACGCGAAAACTAGCTGATAGTTTAGATATCAGAGATATGTAGCACTCAAGGTGCTAAGGGCCGACTGTTACGGCGGCCCTCATGACATCTTCGAGAGAGAAATCCTCCTAAGGATCCTGGAAGCTTCAAGGAAAAATTCTCACGAAGGTCGCAAATATGTGTCAGGTCTCCTCGACCAATTCAAACATGGAGATAATGTGTGTTTTGTAGACGAATAGGATTAGGGGTCGGCACGGATCTATATAAGTAAGATTTACAAATATTCGCATTTGTATTCATAATTTGCAAACCTGTACGAATATTCGTACGAATATTGGACCCTGCTGCGTGGAAAGACCAATATGAGGTGGTGGTTTGGAACGAAGAAGGCGGCCGCTCATAGAGACAGGAGTTTGGCACTGAAGACAGGGATTTGTGAGATGCGAGCGGCTTGGTTGGAGGGAGGACCTAAAGGTTAATTGAACCCGTCACTACGTATGGATTGGAATATCCTGCAGGAATGCTATTTTTGAGGCTGAATGCCATCAGGCGGTCCTTTGGTTGCATTCAGCATCCCGCACGCAGTAGAAGTTTTGGGTAAGATGCGGCAACCCGCAAGACTCTCTCTCAGTCTAGTCCACGCTCTATCCTTAAGAAGAGAATTGGATAAACAACTTTCCAAAACGGGGAAAGAAGTGATATGGTGTATGAACTCCAGCTTGAGATAGCTTGGAAGAGGTCTATACAAGGCAGTCCTTGACTTGTGGAAACCTGATTATCGAGGCAGCATGTCTCGTACCGTACCTTCTCTCGCGTTTACCTGGACATGGAGCAGACCACCCCGGCTAGTGTATAGTTGAGGCTCTGAGTCGAGCCCAGAAACCTTAGTGATCAACGAGTGTCGAAAAGGACACAGGGTATGAAAGATAAGAGGACAGCTTCTAAACGAGGGACGTCTGCAGTAAGTAAGATCCACCACGCTGGCAATGATAAGTCTGCTGTCTAGACTATTTTCCCAGGGCAGTGAACCAGTCGTTGTACTTTCCTGGTTGGTAACAGTTCCTTCGAGCCTGATCAGCTAGACGATGGAGCACTTCACCCGCCTACTAGGTCCAAGGAGCGTTATGAGTCAACTTGCAACCGGTGTCAAGGCAAACATAAAGAAAGACACATACGGGGTGTGAGTATTGAAGGTAAAATGGGTGGTCATCAGCATCAGACTCCATGTGGCACAGCTACTAGTGGCGCAGCTCATCTGATGAAGACAAAGATATGCCTGCTGATATCAAGAAATTGGAGACATATTGCTCCTGACTCTGTTCCAACACGAGGCATTATTTGGGAAGACAGTCTGTTGGCTTTGAATGTCTCAGAAGAATGCTTTGTGCTCACAGTTGCCGCAGCGTAAGGCGCCCTCAACCAAAAACATAAGTGTTGTGCTCTGCTTTTATAAAACGAGATGAGCTCCTTATTTTTCACTTTCTTCTCTCCTCTACCTTGCTTTCATTTCTCTTCTCTTACCTATCACTCTGCTCTCATAGCTTTACCTTACCATCTAGAGAACCTGACTTTCGAATCTAACAAATCAAGGCCTAACCACCCAGAACTTCTTTCCTTTTGCTCTCCTACCTCAGTCATCGACCAGTGGTCTTGGAGGCTTTCACCTAGCGAGACGCGTCGACCGTCAATATGGCAAGACACAAGTACGTCGCTCGGACTAGTCCAATACTGGAAACCCAATACTGACGGCCTTCAGGATTTGCAGGGACTTTGCCAGGACGGGGACCTGCTCCTTCAGAAACTGCAAGTTTCAACACGTCAATGACCCCGGAAGGCGAGATGATGATCGAACAAAGAGAGTCGCGAGACCCAAAAGACCAGAGCTGTCAGATTCAGAGAAACAGTTTCGATCCTGGAAGGATACCCTAACCACAGACTCCTGTTCAACTCGACCAGGTCGGGCGAGGATGGAGAACTTCTTCCGGGATGCTCGACAGTTTCTCGAAGTCGACGCTGGTGTTATGCAAGGAGTGATACGCGAGCTAGCTGGAGAGAAGGGTTTGGAACATATCCGAGAACTTGTGGAGCAGAAATTCCCTAAGGCTGAGTCAAAGGCAAAGGAGACAGCCTTCCGGTCACAGGTCCTTCCTCTGCTGGAAACCGTCTCGCACCCCAACGTTTTATCCTCGCTGATCTTGGAACAAGCAGTAGGAACTATTTTCAACGTGCTGTTTGGTATCGATGGTCGCAGGGCGGCGCTACTCCTGAGCTCAATATGCGATGTGCTATCGAACACCAGTAACGATGAGATAGTCGTGGAGTGGTTGGAAGTTTCTCTCCTCGTCTTTGCAAAAATCGTTGATCTCAACTCCACCGCATTCGTTCAGGATGCACTGAAAGACCAAGCAAACAGGTTTCAGCAGATCTTCCTGCAGATGACCGAGAGTGGCATGGCGAGCTCTCTCCACCACTCGCGCAATCTTCTCGACCACCTTCTACGCCGATTAGAAATTGGCAGCTTGCTACCATCTGCACCGGCAAACGATAACTTCAAATGTGAACCGAAGTGTACTGCAACCTTTACCCTGCATCGCGAAACCCCCGGGGGTAGACATGATAACGATCATGCCGATATCGTGAAGATCGCAATCATGCCAACTCTAGAAGAGATCCAGAGTTCGCGTGTCGAATACCTACCGGTCAATGATCCTGGTCAGTGGCATGTGGGTGGTCTGGACGGTTTGTTGGATCGGAATTTCCGTCTACTAAGGGAGGATACAATCGGTCAGCTGCGAGATGCTATTCACCAGGAGCTCAAGGGGCCACAGCGATTAGGCCCACGGATTTCCCAGGTCCGGACGCACGTCTATCCTCATGCAAAGATCGAACAGATTGACTTTGACAAATTCCTTGGCTTTCAATTCAAAGTTCAATTTCCTCAACTGCCCAGTGTCAGTGAGATGTCAACCAAGGATCGAGAAAACTGGTGGCAGTTGTCGAAGCGTTTGCAATCCGGTGCTCTCGTGTGTCTCATCATGAATGGACGCAATGGAATGGCGGTAGTCTTCTGTATCGTCGTGGACAACCAAATCAGGTCTTCCAAGCAGAAGAAAGACGATGCCGATAGAGAAAGCAAGAATGGGGCATCTCTGTGGACTGACCCGAAGAAAGCTTCAGTGAAACTGACGCTGGTCGACACCAAACCCGGCATGGTCGGCACAATATTGAACAAGGTGCTGAATAAACGGGAATTTTCTGTGGTCGAATTCCCAGGCATTCTACTGGCTGGCTTCGAACCAACCTTGCGAGCACTGAAGAAGATGAAAGAGAACAGGGAGCTACCATTTCTAGATATACTGATCCCGAACAGCGATTCTGGTCCAGTCGACATTCCTCCTCCCCTTTATGCGTTGAGAACCGGATTTCGCTTTAACCTTCGTTGCTTGATGAATAACGAAACCGACCTATACATCCAAGCCAATGAACCCGTTGATATAGAATGCTTACAACGTAACTCAAACCTCGACAAGGCCCAAGCGAAGGCCTTGGTCCATAGCCTTCAACACCGAATCGGCTTGATTCAAGGGCCTCCTGGTACGGGTAAGAGTTACACAGGTGTTGCGCTTATCCGAGTCCTTCTAGCCAATAAGAAGCAAGGAAAGACAAATCTTGGTCCTGTGTTATGTGTTACTTATACGAACCATGCTCTGGATCAGTTGTTGGAAGCTCTCATTGACAAAGGGGTGACGTCTCAGATCATCCGGATCGGTTCGCAGTCCAAGTCTGATCAGCTGAGGTTGCTCAATCTGAGACACATCGCAAAGGATGCCGAGAAGACCAAGGGGGAGCGAGAAGATCAATATCGCCTTCATTGTGAAATGGAAGAGTGCGAGACAGAGTTCTCCACCCTGAAAATCAACCAGGACTTGTTAGCCACTCATCTCATCTCTCATCTTCACGAATTCTATCCGCACCATTATTCTGGTCTGTTCGGCAAAGACGAAGAAGGTTGGCAAATGGTTCGGAAGGGCAAGCCTAATGATGTGATTAGGCGTTGGGTCCAGGCTGGGGAGCCAGGAGATGTGATTCGACCTGTCGACGTGCTCATGTCACTAAATCCGTCCCAATTGCTCCGCAAAGAAAGAGAGGCTTTGTACCAGATATGGACGAAAGAAGTGATTAAGCTGGTGCATGATAAAGCCACGCAGCTCTGCTCGACGCATCATAGAGCCAAAGCCAATTTCGACAACGTTCGGAACGAAGTGGATCTTCGCTGTCTGGCAAAGGCCGATGTCATTGGAGTCACAACGTCCGGTCTGGCTCGGAATTTAAACATGCTGCGAAAGCTACAATCCAAAGTGGTAATATGTGAAGAAGCCGGCGAGGTCTTGGAAGCACACCTTCTCACAGCCCTGTTGCCCTCGGTCGAACACGCCATCCTTATCGGTGATCACCTACAACTCCGTCCGCAGGTTCAAAATTACGAGCTCTCGCGCGAGAACCCCAGAGGTGGCGAGAAGTACTCTCTCGACGTTTCGTTGTTTGAGCGACTGGTGGAGTCGCAGAGTGCTATGGGTCTGGGTCTTCCGTTCAGCACACTGGAAACGCAGCGCAGGATGCACCCTTCCATCGCCCAACTGGTTCGGGATACTCTATATCCTCAGATAGAAGATGCAGAATTCGTGTCAAGCTATCCCAAAGTTGTGGGTATGCGCCGCAGACTGTTCTGGCTCGACCATCGCGAGCCGGAGGCGGATGCAGCCAATACAAGTGTGCTGGCGACCTCGCACTGGAACGAGTACGAGGTTCGGATGACAATGGCCGTGGTCAACCATCTCGTGCGTCAGGGCAAATACCAAAGCGGCGAGATTGCAGTTCTTACTCCATACCTTGGTCAACTCCATCGACTACGTCAGCTGTTCTCGCAATACTTCACTGTCACACTTGGAGAACGAGATGCGGACCAGCTCGAGAGTGCTGGCTTTGAGGCCCGTGAAACAGTTGTCAAGACGCCTGCGAGAGCTACTCTACTGCAAACTTTGAGAGTAGCGACCATAGACAATTTTCAAGGTGAAGAGGCCAAAGTCGTCGTGATATCGCTGGTCCGAAGTAACTCTCAGAACCGCTGTGGCTTCTTGCGTACGTCAAACAGAATCAACGTCCTCCTATCACGAGCTCAGCATGGAATGTACATCATTGGCAATTCCGAGACTTCTACTCACGTTCCCATGTGGGCGCAGGTCATTGACATCCTTCGGCAGTCGGGCAATATAGGATCACAGCTGGAGTTGCAGTGTTCCCGTCACCCTGATACACCACTCCTTGTCTCTGAGCCTGACCACTTTTTGCAGCTATCCCCAGAAGGAGGCTGTAGTCTTCGCTGCATCAATCGTCTTCCTTGCGGCCATGCTTGTGAGCAAAAGTGCCATTCGGAGCTGCTTCACAACGCCGTGTACTGCCCACAGCCGTGCCCTCGTCCGCGCAAAGGGTGTACTCATCCGTGCGTCAAGCGGTGCGGTGATCCTTGCCCTGTTAGGTGTATGGTGAAGGTGTACAAGGAGGACAGGAAGCTCGAATGCGGCCATTCCATGCCGACTTTGCCCTGCTGGCAAGATCAGGACTTGTCCACCGTCGATTGCAAGGTAACTGTCTCCAAGACCGTCGGACATTGTAAGCATGAGATCAGGGTGGAATGCCATCAAGATGTGAATTTGGCTACTTTCAAGTGTACCGCGCAGTGTAATGCTCTCTTGCCTTGCGGACACACATGCAAGCATCCATGCCACCATTGCCTAGAGGTTCTTGATTGGGAGGATGTCCGCATCAACCATGGAAGATGCCAGCAAAAGTGCGGCCGCAAGCACTCGACTTGTGCTCACTTGTGCAGTGCTGTTTGCCACGGTGACGAGCCTTGTCCCCCGTGCGAAGAACCTTGTGACGTGCAGTGCGGCCATTCCAAATGTACCAGTAAATGCCGGGAGCCATGCATCCCATGTGCAGAAGAGCGATGCTTCTCCAGATGCCCACACAGCGCGTGCACAATGCCTTGCGCCGCCCCATGCAACCACATTCCATGCTCGAAACGATGCGATCAGAAGCTGCAGTGTGGTCACCAATGTCCGTCGCTATGTGGGGAGAGGTGCCCGTCCGACAAGTACTGCCAAACGTGCGCAAGTGAAGAAATCAAACACCAGGTTGTGGACTTTATCCTGGGTGAGACATACGAGAACATCAATCTGGATGAGAATCCGTGCATCTTCCCTCGGTGTGGCCATTTCTTGACCATGGAAAGCATGGACGGGCAAATGGCCTTGCAAGAGCACTACGAACTCGATGAACGGGGTAGTCCTATGTCGATCAACGATGCATCGCGCCCGTTCTCAATGGACGACATCGAGACGTGTGCCACGTGTCGTGGGTCACTGAGAGATCTTGCCAGATACGGTCGACTTGTGCGTCGAGCGCTCCTGGACGAATCCACCAAGAAGTTCATCCTTTACTTGAACCGTGAATACGTTCCTCTGGAGGAGGAGCTCGCCCGGCACGTAAAGCTTATGCAAGAAACAGACGTTGCAAGTAGAAAAGGATCAGGCTGGCCCGACCATCTGCAACTCGAGGGCTCAATCCAGCAGATTGTCAAGACAATGACGGCATTAGTTCAACACACATCCCCCGGCCGGTGGAAGAACATGACCAAGCTTCGCGACAAGGTCGTCGCCTACCGCAAACGAGTAGCCTTGGACGAACAACCCTACGACCGAGTCCGCAGCATGGTCGAAGCCGCCAAACGAAGGAACGAAACCGACGGAAACTTCGACTTCGACAACACCATCCTCCAGTCAAAGGGCGTCCTCCTCGCTACCGCCCTGAACCTCCGTCTCGACATCGCCCTGCTAAGCGATTTCCTCACCGTCAAGGACCGTGCATCGTCCAAAACGGGCAATATCACCGTCTCCCTCAACCTACACGACGCAAGAGACGAGGGCGACACCCTCGTCAACCTCGCAACCGCCTCGGGCCGCATTCTCCAGCAAGCAGAGGGCCACACTTTCCTCGCACACCTCCGCGCCCTCGAAAGATCCCAGACCATTTCTCCACAAGCTGCGGAGACACACCTTCAGGAAGGGCAAGCCGCGATCGCTCGCGCGCGATCCCTCTGCTCGCAGCACCCAACACAAACGAGAGGTCTCCTGCCCGAGATCGAGGGCGTTGACAAAATGCTCCGGGGCTCGACTTTTTACTCCGTGGTGACGAGCGAGGAGCGCATGGCGGTGGTAGCGGCCATGGCGCGCGAGTTCCATGGCACGGGGCATTGGTATTACTGCCGGAACGGACACCCATTTACGATTGGGGAGTGTGGCGGTGCGATGCAGCAGACGGCGTGTCCTGAGTGCGGGGCGCCGGTTGGGGGGAGGGAGCATCGGGTTGCGGAGGGGGTGACTCGGGCGGATGATTTGGAG